AGAACAACAGACAACAAAGAATGAAAAAAATGGATAATATGTATGACATCTAAGAAATAAGTAAAAAAATTACATCAGGATAATCTGCAGTCACACAAAGAAGAGAGAGCATCCAAGATCAAGTGAACCTTTCAAGTTCAAATACATACAGCCTCTTTCTATTGATAATAGAAAGCATATTGATGTACTGGCACTTCTGCAGTAGATTCTTCCAAAATATTTCACATTCTATGATGTTGTTTTATGCAGCTAATCCAGATAATTAAGCTGAAATAATTGAAAAAGGATGAATAATAAGAAATAAAATTGTATGTACACTTACAGTATCAAAATTGTTTACCAAATTCATTAATAAACTGTTTATTAGACACTTCATTGGGTGAAGTCTGGAGAAAGGAGGAGGAACCCTGTTCTTTCCTCATCTCTTTGTCTTTAAGTATTAATTTTTTGCCTAAATAATCAGGAATGTTCATCATCATTATCTCTTTAGGGATTAGGAGAGTCTCCTGTTCTGTCTTCAGTATACCAGCTTAATCTTAGACAGCCGACATCCCTTTTGCCATGATGTCTGTAGCAATATCTTTGTTTTAGAATGGGGTCACTAATCATTCTGTGTAGATGTTGGGACCATCGGGTCCTGTATTCTTGTATTTTATTTATTAATGGGAGCACTTCTCATTCTTCTCTGATTATCTCATTTTTTTATTTTCTCTAATATAGTGCAGCCTTCGACTTGTCCCAAGACCCTCATCTCAGATGTCTGAATTCTCGTAAATTCTTTCTTTTTCATGGTCCACGTCCCGCACCCATAAAGAAGTGTGGGGATAGCCATTAGTTTATAAAATTTAAATAGTGTTTCCTTTCTAGTTTTCTTTCTTGTATATTTTATTAATGTTCCACATATATTTTGGAATCTTTGAGTTTTTATTGAATTTTTTTTTATAAATCAAAAGTAATATCACATCCCAAATATCTAAAATGACTAACTTGTTCTATGATTTTATTATTTATTATTATCTTACTTCGTATAGGATGTTTGCCTCTAAACGCCATTACTTTTGTTTTCCGAGTTGAGATTCTCAAGTCATATTGTTCACATATTTTATTTACTTTATAGAGAGCCTGGTGTAACCAATACTCACATTCTTGGATAATTATCTGCAAATAATAAAGTATTTAGAGTGGTTTCGAAGTTTATCTCAATGCCATCTCTAATACACTATTTCCATTCTCTCAGAACATCATTTATATAAATATCAAATAAGGTGATAGGCTACAACCTTATCTAACACCTTGATTAATTTTAAACTTGTCATAGTGATGAACGTCATATCCATTGTAAAAGAAATCTAGATATTTGAGTAGAGATTTCAAAGAAGCGCTGAATATATTCATCAATTAATTTGATTTATACACTTTTTGAAAATTCAAAAGGATTTTTCTGAAACTAACTCATGATTTAGCTCCTTTGACCTTGGAACCCCTTTATATAAAAAATCATAAAAATGATTTAGATGGCTTATGGTGTGAGTATGGCAATATAATTATGAAAAATACGTAAATTGCTATCGAATCAAGTCAGAAGCAGATCCAGAGACCAATTATGGGAGGAGAAATTTAAAATAGTGTGGTCAAACAAATTTTTTAACATTTTATAGACTACACTGAGTTCATGCTGCAATACAATTTTATTGGATTTAATGATTATCTAAAAATATTTTTGCTTGAAAGTTTTGTAACAAGTTAAAATTAATAGTTACAAAAAGTTTTAAAGGGGGAAATTTCCCTCATTTCCCTCCCTAAGGATCTGCACCTGATCAATCATTGCATAAAAGTCCTGTATCCCAAGTTTGCCTTGGGAAAAACACAAAAGCTATGTAACCCCTGTTAACTAAAACATTAACTGTATTGTACCCATGTTAATTCCCATTTGATTTTAGAAATGTACAGTCCTGGCTGATAATGTGGGTATGGTGGGTAACACCCATACAAAAAATTTCAAGTGAGAAATATTCAGTTGGAATTTAGCTAGAGGGAAATATTCCACAAACGTTGAATTTCAGAAAAAGATCAAGTTTCTTGGTATTGTGTGCACTCAAAAAGTACGCACAATCAACAGTGTTGCAAGATAGGCTAAAGAGTATTGTGATTTTACATGTATATGGCAACATGACTGACAAAATCAATTTCCCAAAACTGAGTTTATATAAAAAAATGTAATGAGCAGTGCTCTTTTTGCATTGCAAAAACAAACTCTGCTGAAGTTCCATAAAATAAATGTGATAATAATTTAATGATAAAAATAACAATTTGAAAAAAAACTGTTTTGAATACATTTTTGATGGGTGATGGATGGGACCTCCACCAGGGACAACTACCCACTTGGATTTAACATCAACAGCAAGCCCTGGAAATGTAAAATTGCTACAGTGGGAAACTAATATCTGCTAGATCTGCTTTCTGTAACATTGTCAATTAAATTTCAAAAATGAGGACCTTTTAGAATGTACTAAAAATTGTTCTAGATTATATAGAAAAATTCTAAGATTTTTCTAATGATAAGTGATTTTTTTATTTTTATTTAGTCTTGAATTACTAATAGTACTAAATTTTAATAAAAATTTTTTTAAAAATTTCTATATGTATGGGTTACTTTAAACAAACGTTTAAAAACAGTTTTATTTCCGAACTTGGAAAATTTTCATAGAAATTAATAAATCATCACTATGTCTTTGTTAGTAGAGGGAGTTCATTTCCAATGTATTTTATATTCTTCACTTATGAAGAATTTATAATTCCTTCAAAAGATAAGTACGGAATACTGTATAAGACTTTCTTTCTATTCTATTTTTGTGGGGTAATAAAGTTTTCATCATATGCTGGATATTGAAAAAAGGATGTACAGCCAACACAAGGTCTTAATTTTTTATCAGAACTATGTTTAATAATCCAATATTGAACTCTGGTGTGTTTACAATGTGAAGTGTGGAAGATTCTCATTAGCGTACAAACATGAACATCCAAAACACCAATAAAATATTATTTTAACAGCACAAGTCTCCTTCAATAACTATAGTGGTACTGAAATGAGTATTTGTTACCAGATAGAAACTTACATATATAAAATAAATGCTAAAACTCCCTCTATCCAGGATTAAAAAAGGGGCTTCTTAGAAGTGAATGGTCATTGCAGTACATTTTTCTTTATTTAGTGTCTTAAGTTTTTAGACAATCAATTGGGTCTAAATCAGTACAGAATTATCCATTAAAATTCATTTTTAAAATCATTAGAATAGCATACTTTATCCTAATAAAACATTTCATGAATAGATGTATTCACCTCATCAGATACATAAGATCTTGTCATAATTTTAAGTCTAAATATTGAGTCTACTATGTTTAACACTAGGGCTGTTGAAAGCTGCAAAGGGTTGTGGACAACAGCTAAGGTTAAGGAAAAAAAGATGAATGAAGCCAGTGGCCAAGATCTTATGTACATATTGAGGTAAACACATCAGTTCATGAAACGTACTTGGGAAATAAAATAAGCTATTCTAATATGTTTAAACTGAGTTTTAATTGATAATTCTTACTGATTCGGACTCCCAATTGATTGCCTAAAAACTTAAGATACTAAAATATGATAACTTCATAACAGGCAATCACTACAACATTTATAATTAAATTTCAGTACATTGTTGAGGCTTCTCAAGTATGCTAGAGATAAATCTATCTATAGCACAGAATGTAGATGCTATTATAAGGATGTTGATTCATTCAGTTTCATTCATTTTCTTAAAAATTTGGATGAAAGGCCTTTTCGCAAAGAACAATTCAATTATGGGTTGTCGATAAATTATGTAACACTAAAGAAGGGGGTAGAGGTTTGAGGTAACATTTCGCTGCTTTACATAGGAGTAGGGGGATGTTAGGTTAGCGTTATGTAACATTAATTTTGTTTTTCTCCTAAAATTTGATGAAATAATTCCTTTATTCAGTCTCATACTAAACCATTAATATCTTAACGAATTGATTTAAAAGTTGTAAATAAATGAAAGAAGTTTTGATGTACTTATTGCAATAAATGGAAATATTTTTTCATCAATGATATATTGGTTGAAACTGTTTGATTTTGAAGAAAATTTCCAAAACTAATCACTATTATATACTAGAATCCAATTAAATTACCAAAATAGTATCTTACCCACGCATCATCCATGACTATGGTTTGTTGTCAGAAAAAGTCTCTCTTGTGCATCCGTCCATCACTCAAAAATTGTCTCCACCCCTTTAGGAAGAAAGGGTGAAATCAAAATACACCAAATTTGTGTTATGTAAGTAATGGATGTCCCCTTATAAGTGAAGTGTAGCTATGTTTTTTATTTTGTGTATATATTTGGTATTATAAATGGATTAAGGAAATGATTCCAGAAGTTGCTAATGTAAGTATTAAAGTTTAAAAATATGAATTAGAATCTCTCCACTTGCTTCAAACTTTCAGATTGCAGAACTTATGCCGTCTAGTGTTGAGGAGGTCAAAAACAAAAATTTATTTTCCCTTCTTTGATATTTAGAGTTACTTAAAAATATGTTATTGATGTTGGCTTTGCAGTAGTGTGGCATGAACAGAGTCCTTCCCTTCCCTTCTTTTATGAGTTCAGGGAGTAGAATAAACTTTATTTTGATCTTAGGTAGAATTTGTAGTGTAGCAAGTATTTCTAAGACAAGTATCTGACCATTTTGCAATTTTTAAGTGACCAAATACTCTATCAAAGTCAGTTTGGAACTACAGCCGTAACTGGTGCTTTACTTTAATGTAATAAATGAAATATGTAAATTTTTGGAATAGTGTATATTGTGTATATAATTATGAATGAAATCAAGTTTGATTGCCTGTGGTTCGGTTAATCATTGTGAAACTGGTTTAATGCTGTTTTGAATTGAATCAAGCCATTACATTTAAACTCCTTGTTGTTGGCTTAGTCTCTGATAACTGAATTCCAGGTTAATCAAGTTGGCATGAGGTTGATGAAGTAGTTGAGATCTTAAGGAGGAAAGAGATAAAATGGATTTGAGTTATGCAATGGAAGAGAATTAATTATCACAAATATTTCACTAGTAGAAAAATGTTTAATAATATTAATTACTTACATAATAATCTTAATGAATATAACAGTTTCCTTAACCAATATGGAAGGAAAACATCTGTATGATACAATATCTAACAGTGCAATGCTTAGAAGAGCATGTAATCACCATTATGAGTCTTTGCATTAAATGACTTAATTCTTAGCTCTACTCCTTTTACTGTGATTGCTCATTTTCTTTGAAAAGCACCCTCAATTTGCATGTACATTTTAAAAATTACATCTGTGCAATCAAACATTATTATTGTCTATTAACTGTGCTCCCAATATTCCAAAAAAGAATGTTATGTCTGGAAATATTATCATGGATGCAACATGATCTGTCAACATAAAATGCAGAACAAATCTTTTTGTTCAGAATGATTTAGTGCACATTAGGCAGCACTAGCACAAACAATTCTTACATTTAATTTCTGTGAAGCACACAGCATGAAATGTCTCGTTTGTGTTTGCACGCTTTCCAGATGTTTCCTGCTTTTTTCAACTGTTCAATGACTTCATCGTCAAACCGATCTCGAGAACTTCACAGGTCGATTCAAATCTCGGGTCTGTGAGGCCTAACTCGCCAGAGTGTTACAACGTAACGGGGCCATCACCCTAGTCCCACTGTCAGATTCGAGATCGAAGAGTAAAGGATGAGGGGTACACCCATGAGTGACGATGGCAGTATCAACAATCACCTCACATGGTGTCCTCAATTAGCAACAGCAGCAGCTGCACAGACACAACCACAACTGGCTACTTTGGATTTAACACAATAGGCGGCAGGGCCAGGGAAAGCTTCATTAGCGTGGAATCAAGCTCGTTTGGGCGGTGATCAGTTGAATGGTTGAATCACTTTTACCTTGGTGGCAAATAATGACTTGTTTGCCTCAGAACATCATAATTGCAAAGTATATTAATCAATAGAAGTTATTTGGAGTAGCTTAACCTTTGATATTTGTTTCAGATTCGGCTAATTCTCTTTTATGTTATTATGCCAGTGCATTTATACACATGAGAATACATATTTACAATTTTGAGTGAACATTTTAAGGAGTCATAGATAAATAATTGAATGTACTTGACTATGACATGAATTTTGATGGTGTAAAATCAAGAGATAAAGGGCGAGATCCGGCTCTCTTGATTACATCCATATTCGCTTGCATCAGGGTATATTTTATACCTGACTCTTTTTGCCTTACGATGTTGCATAGCAAACAGATACATCATGAAGACTGATTAAGGAGAGAACACAGTATCTACGAGGCATTAGATGAGCTAATTATCCTCACCTAGTGCATCATAATATTTCTCACAATCACGGCTCTGAATTCAATATGCAGCTCAGGGCAATCGTGCACCTTCAGTACATATACCTCCCGTTCACACAGCAGTTAATCGAAGTCCTCAAGATGTCTGAACCAAATTGCCGGCTTCCATACATAATTTCTAGTATTTATTTGATCCAGAATTGGACAGAAGTTCAATGAATTTACGAAAGCCCGCGCCCCCCCCTTCCCGATCAGTCTTCATGTGCAATATTCTGCGCACGTTTTCTTGCATACTCCGTTTCGCTAGATCCGAAAGCTATCATTTCTTTGTTATTAAATATTATAATTTACTCTCGTTGATTGCTTTTCTCACAATTCAACTGAAATTGTTAAAAGAGAGGGGGAAGGAATTTTTGAAGTGAAGAAAACGTGCGTACGAAAGACCGCCGCCGCCACCGCCTTCTCGACCACCCGAGCCGCCCAGCGCCGGTCCACCGCCTTCTTGGCCTCTTCGCTTACTCGATGCGCTTCGCCATGAGGCGCATGGAGCCCCGCGCGCCGGGGAAGGGCACGCGTCCGCCCACGCTGAGGCGGTCCATGGGCACGTCGCTGAGCACCTCCATGCCGACGGTGTGCGCGATGGCGTGCGACGCCGGGTTGGAGAAGAGGGTGACGGTGAGGGGCACGCCCATGGCGCGGCCCATGTTGATGCGGCCGCGCACCAGCTCCGTGCCCACGCCCAGGCCGCGGAACTCGCGCGCCACCGCCAGCCCGATGCCCGTCAGGTAGTGGGAGACGCCGTAGCGCGCGAAAACGTCCACCCGCCGCTCCACCGCCGCCAGCGCGTCCAGGAAGAGCTGCGCCTTGCTGCCCTCCACCTGCGCACACACGCACTCGCGTTAGCGTCAACGAACACGTGAAACGACGTAGCCACAGGAGCAAGGGCTTAGACAAACATCCGAGGATTATTAAAGAAAAATATTACAAATTGTAAAGTCAGTTGTATTGTAAATGACACGTAAGGTTTTAAAATAGCTATTAAGGAACACATTAGGGTATATAAACACAAAAAAGTCAACTCTCTATAATTACATTATTTTCGTCATGAAAGTTGGATAACTGACGATACTTTAATAATGGATGCCAATGTTATGTATTGCATCTTTTTACTTTATATCTACAGAGTGCAAATTTATCTAGTAGTTAATGACCTGACAACAGCTGTCGAAGCGACTTAAAAAGCACCTTTACAGCAATATATCCAATAATACATTTGACTGAGTTCCGCGATCTCTCTCTGTCAATTGGTTTGTCAGGCAACCCGCTTGACGTTCATGTGCTTGCTCGCTTCGAGTTGCAGCGCCTCCTTCAGTTGTTATGGAACGTTAACGTTAAGTGTGACGGAAAGAAATAGAATGGAAAGAAAGAATAATGGAGAACAAAAGGGGAAAAAATCTTAGGAAGAGAGAAGAGTAATACCAAGAAAGGCGAAAGGAAGAATAAAAGGACAAGAACAAGATGGGTGGTCGATTTAGGTCAAAAAGTGGGTTCTGTATTTATTTATCGAATCGCGTATTCTGCACATTTCCATTTTATGCATATGAATCCTTTAAGATACTCAAACGGCTAGTTTACCATAATTGACCGAATAAAGGTAAGCTAAGAGACTTAAACTGATAAAAGTCCGTTCACTTCAGCAGGGATTTAATAGAAATATTTCGTAAATAAACAAACATAAACGTATCGCAAACTCTCGAGAAAGTTCACAAGCAAATGCAAGATAAGATCTATCGCAATAAAATGAAGCAGCCTCATAAAGAGGTATTGCTAAATCTTTCTGCACACATTTCACCTTATCACAGAGTCGATAATCGCTATCTTAGCTGAATTAGCCTGATTTAACAGACATTGAGTAAGGGTTTCAAAACCTGGTATGTCTCAAATGTGATACAGCAAAAGAAAAACAGGATTATTCTTTTAAAACTATTATCTCTTTCCATAGCATCAAAGGAATTTATATCCTCAGGATTCTAGAAAGAGGTCATCATTTTGATAAATCCCAACGGAATGCACACTTGTGTATACTATCCCGTGTAGAGATTTTTAAAATTTGAACAATTTCTACGGCTTCAATGACAATCTAAATCAACCGAAGCGAGGAGCGAAACTAAATTTAAAAGAAAAGTTTCGTTTAGAAAGTGCAAAAATGAAAGTAAACATCTTTGATTGCGTAGCTTTCGTGGCCAGAGTTTGTATTATCTAGGCTCTCCGGGACTTGAGATCCCTCATCCTGGATAGCCTAGGTAATAGTAAACATCTTTTTTCGTTTACATCGTAAAGAAACAAGAACTGATATTGGACTTTGTTTGCACAAGGCGGAGCCTGAGGAATGATTTATCTATGATTATCTATCGACCATCCCTCACGTCGAGAAACGAAACCAGCAAAGTAATCACCTCTCCAAGAAAAGAGGGACTTGTAAGCATAAACATTTCCTCTTATTCTACGCTCTTGATTCCATATGACACACATCTTTCAATAAATCAGAGTTCGTCATTTTCTTTCACAATGTTGTAAAAGGGCTGACGAGAGGTAGAGTGCGTGAGTATATAGTGTTTTCGTGAGAAACAACAACTATGGACATTAGTCCCGTAAATACAGTTCATGCAATAACCAGAAGGTGAGGGTGTTCCTCCCCTTGGAATGTGAAATTCGGCACCAACCTATACGTCGGATTTCGTTTTTGTTGCTCCAGGCATGTCCCCGAATGGGACACCGCACCAGCCGGGACAAGTTCTAAGCTTGTGACTGGTCGCCTGGCCTGTGCGGTAGTGTAGTCTACGTAAATGTGTGTGTGTGTGAAAATGGGAAAGGGAAAGATGAGGAAAGAAAGATTGCACGTGGACCGTGGCCCTTTTGTGTTTAGTGTAGTATACGTAAATGTGTGCATGTATGTAAAAGGGGAGAGGCAAAGATGAAAGAAAGATCCCGTTTGTTAAGATACTGCTCCGTCGTTCGCCCGATAATTATAGGAAACCTCAAGGACAATTTCCGATCAGAGCCTCCGTCCGTTAGAATGTTTGAATTCGACCCCAATGTGTAGCGCTGGAGATACTGACCTTTGGCACGATGTGCGCGGAGTCCTTGTCGACGACGCCGAGGATGTTGACGCCGGCGATGACGTTGTCGGTGCCCAGGTAGCGCAGGTATCGGGTGTCGTCGACCAACGCCACCAGGGACACGCGCTGCTGCAGCGTCTCCATCCACAGCTCCTCCATGGCGCGCGTGGACGCCGGGTCGTCCCACATGCCCAGCGCGCTGAACATGGGCTCGTCGCGCATGCCCTTCGCCATGTGCACCACCACCGTCTCGAACAGCTCCTCGGGCACGTCCTGCACGCGCACACAGCCCACGCGTCACTAGGCGCTCGCGAGGAAGGGAGGGCAAGGGAGATGGGGCGTCCATTGCAAGCAACACACAGGAGAGGAGAACGGGATTTTGGCGTGCACTGTATTCCTAGATAATTCGCTCTTCCTCCTTTTCCCCATAGTAAAAGCTAGAAAGTGTATCATGTTAGAATCGTTTCCAGGAACAGGTGAAACGTATTTACTGATAATTTTACGTTCCATGATGCAAGTTGATGACGTATTGCGAATTCAGAACATAGTCTACGAGTCACGTGACTAACGTATTACTTTTATCAGTCTCATTGAAATTATGAAACCCGCATTGTTTGCACAGTGTAGAGCATAGAGTCATCGATCAGGAACTATTGTTTTTTGTCTTCTCCGTAGACAGTTAAATCTTTTGAAAAAATGACAAATTCGCTGATCTCTTTTATAAAAGCCAATAATAGATGTACTTATTCATTGGTTTTATTCGCTACAATACGTTCTGCCACGACGTCCTGCTATCTGCCTTCATCGCTCAAAATTAATTTGAAACAAAACTCCTTTATACAATCTAAACGCTTACGAAGAATATGATAATACGGTTTAAATTTCAATTTTTTGTTCATAAAAATATCTTCGGGGAATGTGCTATGGTATCGACACTACGTCATACCCCAGTTAGTTTTTCAAACACCTGCCATTTTTTCTCAGAATAATGCAACCGGATAGGACTTTCTTGAGTAACATGACCGACGATTGCCAAGTTATGCGATCTATCGTAGTGAAGAGAAGTAAGATGAGAATTATGAAAAAAGACGAGAATATTTTGATATGATTAACGAATTTTTAATTCGCCTGCTCACTGCCTCTTCTCATAAGCAATTGCTTCTTTTCATATGAATAAAGTTCCGTGCTACTTGGAGCATTTACTACTCTCTTTGAGTAATTGCTTTCTAATTGATCTGTTGTGATTGGTCAATTTTCGTCTGTTCTGTTTGTCTATGTTACCTCCCGACGCACGCATGTTCTTGATAGTGTTAGGTTAAGTGGCGAACATTGTTGTCGAAATCGTAGGAAATCTTCCATCATTTATTCACTCACTCCCTCCCTAAAGCCTCACACCCAGCACATAACAATCATTTATATTGCCTCATCCATCCATTTAATACGATTGATCTACAGAAGTTTCTCCGAAAAATCGAAGAAAATGTTTCGCACCATTTTACTAATGGGAAAAGTAAGCCATTGCTCTTCAGCCTACGATCCAATGGAGAAATTGCTCAAAATAAGAGCAAGTATTCACGTTCTTTATTCATTCTGTTTGAAGAAATTGCATTGAAAATTCGAGAAAGAAGTGCTAGCTCATTTCCATTCAAATCAACCAATGTTCTACCTTTCTCCTTGTCTCCGACGTACCTGGATTCTGAACTGCACTGGCGTGCTGTCCGCCACCTTGAATCGCCCGGTCCACCGCCTCCAGATCTTGGGGTGTGCCAACGCCTCAGGCCGCTTCCATGTCCTGCTCAGGTTGGTGTTGCGCTCCAGGAGGAACTGCAAGCAGACGGAGCCACAACATCAACTTTCGCTTCCACACCGCGAAGAGAATACAAAGAAACGTGGTGCCAATAAATTAACCATTCATCATAAAAAATATTGTATTGATAATCGATAATAAATACTCCAGTGCTGCATACTTTAATACGATTTTAGGTTGAAACCGTGAGGTGGGTCGTGATTCATTCAATGTTTTGTTTTTCTATAACAAACTTGACGTAAAAATCAGATGTCGGCCAGAATATTCCATAATTTTAGTAAAAATGTAAATATGCTAGATCTGTCTTAGAAAGCAAGAGAAAAAACAACTTCACGATAGACTTGGACTGGCATCTGTCAGTGAAACGACGCCTGAGGAAACAAACTTTCATATATTTTCGAAATGAACATAATCATTAATATTAATGTTTGTTTGAGTTGTAAAATTTCTGTGCATTTCAAGAAATCCACCAAAAATAGAGATGACGTCTTCACACATCTTTCACTTGAAGACGAACGGACGACCTAACGAAACGCTCTACTACACAGAATTTTTTTTCGCCGTTGCGGAAACAAAGTAGGCAACCCGATATGCAGGCGTGTGTTTGTAAGGTTCGAAAGCAGTAGGCGCGAATGAACCAAGAATGAAATAATATTCTAAATAAAAATTAAAATGAAATAAACTTTATATGGGATAGGAAAATATTACCTAATTTGCTTCAACTAACTTCCGAATTAGTCGAAACTAATTTTCGGAATTAGGTACGGCAGGTCAACGTTTTAATACCGCATTTACTTGCAGAAATAAAAGTTATGTAACAGATCACATATCTACTTTTAACATTGACGTCTAGTCGCGTATCACATATAGCATTATTGTTTCCCTTATAAACGGAGGACACATTGAATGTCTAAATGCAATAATTGAAAGCGTAATGCAGCGCCGACCTTCCTGCCGATTGCGTATTCCCCTTCCATGTATCTCCCCTGAAAAGGACCAGCCCATACAGAACAAGCTCTAAGCTTTCTAATAGACTGCCGATTCCCAACTAGTCTCGTAGTGTAGTGCATACAACAGTGTTTACATGTGTGTGTGTGTAAGCATAAGGGGAAAAGGGGACAAGGATGAATAAAGGAAAGATCGCCCATGATCCGTGGCCCATTTTAAAGGTACCAATCGGACATTCGCATAGTTCTAATCGGGGAAACCGCGGAAAACTACAGACACCGGTTCAGGTCGTCTGCGGCTCTCGCAATACCCGTCGTCCTGGCAAGCGCAGAACGCGACGTCGTCCGTCACGCTTGACCCGGCAGGCGCACGGGCGCTGCGCTTGCGGTATGCGACCACGTGCAGCGCGCATGGCTATCTGCGCCGCGCACGCCGCCGCCGCCAGCGCCACCTGCCAACCTTGCGCGGGCGCCCTGTTATCGCGACTTGCGGGTCTCCGCGTAACACCGGGCACACGTCGACGCAAAGCGACGCTCGATTGGTTGGTTGGTTCGCTAGTGATTCCGGGCGCGTCAACTGCCGAGGTCATTAGTTCCGTAGGTGTAGTGCATGTTATATGTGAGCGCATAAGTGTAAGTAAGTGTGAGTAAGGTGTAAGAGGAAGGAAAAATCGCGCACGGTCCGCGGCCTGTTTGTTAAAGTACTACTTCAGCATTCGCAAGATATTTGTCGGAGAAACCACGGAAAACTACCAAACCAGAGCAGCCGGCCGCTAGATTTCTCGTCCATAGAGACAGAAGCGGGCCTAGCTAGTGCCGAAAATCCTGCCGCCGTCGGGTCTCGAATCTAGGACCTCCCGGTCGGAGGCACTGTAGTGACATCAGTTGATGCCCTGAGCCACCTGTGGGACTCTCGTATTTTCGCGTCGTGCCCTCTGCTCCTCTCTCTTCGCTGCTTGCGCCTGACAACAGCCCGCGCCGCTCGCAACTCGCCTCAGCGGAAGAAGTGGCGGCGCGCCTTCCTGTTTGCGCTGTGATGGAAACGGGGCTGTTAAACGAGACAGGTTTACTCGTCCGGGTAAAATGCAGCGTTAGTGGCTACTATCCAGAGGGAATGACACTCACGAATAAAACCCTCCACTGGCGGAGGGCATCAATTGATGTCTCTACTGCGAGTCTGGCCGGGAGGTCCTTGCATTCGAGCCCCCTCTGTAGCAAGAGTTTTGACACCATCTAGTTTCTTCAGCCGCTGTCTGGAGGAGAATTGTACTGGCTGGCTGCTCCCATGAATACCGGAAGAAAAACGAAGCAGTGTCCTCTCAAACGGACCACGCGCGTTCTTTCCTTCTTATTCCTTATATCTTCTCCCCTTACTTCCACACACTTGCACTTACATGCTGTAACTATCACTCATGTCGGGACACCGGTTGGGAGCCCACAGCATATCTTCGCTGGTAATATGCCACGCTGTGATTGTTATTAGTAATAAAAGTATCATAACACTTCCTTGAATGATATTTCTATAATTCAATGTCTAACAGAGAAGAAAGCTTTGTACTACAAAAATATGTTACCTACAGTAATTTCTGAAGCTACATCTGAGTGTAAAAGAGCTTGGAAATGAGAAAACGTTTATATTTGAGCGGCCTAATTTTATAGAATTTTATGTTCGAAATATTTTACATTTTTAAAAATTGTTTCTTTACATTCTGCCTAATGCATTAAATGTTACATTTTATCCAGTCTTACATTTAAAAACGTGACCTAGAAAAGCACCGCATTCGTTTGCAACCTGACGTGTGTAGGAGCGAGAGCCTTAAAGGACCACCGGTAGTTGAAGGGGGGGGGCACCTGTCACAAAGCACCACTTCTCCACTTTCCAGCTCTCCCCGTCTTGGGAGCTCTACCTGCTGGTTCGCCCGCAGGTGCAGGCAGCTAATACGCTATTGAAAAGAAATCCCCCTACCACCTAGGCTCCCCTTTGCACTACAATTCTTTGGGGAATACAAAACGGGTCCCTCCAGTTTTCTCAAGAGCAAGGCTGGATGCGCTGTTGCCACTTTTGACAACTGTGTCGCAGCTCCAGCTGAACAGCTGCGAGTGTAAGAGGAATAAAATGTAATGACAAAACAGCAATATAGAAGTTTTTGTATGAGCTCTTTAATGTGTTATGTTCATAATTAGTATTAACTTGTTTTCTGTTGTATGTCATAACCCTGTAGATGGAATTTTATATTTCGAAACGTCGAGACACATTATTTCTTTTTACAGCCTACCTATCTTTTTACAGTCTACCTCTGAACCGAAACACAAACGGTCGTAAATCATTGTTCAATACTACAATGCTGTGGATAGCTTAAAAACGTGAAAACGGAGTTTGTGCTTCACTGATTCGCCGAAGCTCCAAAAGCCGCGGCCCGGCCCTGATGAGACGCTGGAGGGCGTCCCGTGCGTCCGGACGCCGCGTCCTCGCCAGTGTCGCCGCCGCCGCAGCGTCAGATATCGCTCCGTGCTCGACG